TCTGCTGCACTCAGTATTTTTTGGCACTTCCTGCCCACTAGATGCTTGAAGTTGGAAAAGGGTGTTATCTTTCCTACCAGATATCTCTTCCTAAAATTCATAACCTTATAAACAACATGCCTAATGATAACAGGCTGTGTCTTTAGAAAGGGAAGTCAACTTTCATCTGTGAAAAAGCTACAACATTGACTAAAGAATTCTTGTGGCACATTACAAAAAGGTCCTCTTATTTCTGAGGTGTGGAAGAGTCTGTAGAGACTCAACACTACCTTCCCAGGGGCAATATTTAGAGAGTTCTGCAGTACCATCTCCAAGTGAGCTGAGCTGTGTCCACACAGCCCTTGGGATAGGGTGGGATGACTATCCATCTAGCCAGCAGGAAGTGCTGAAATTGACCATAAATAAAACCATTTTTCTGGGATACCAGTCCCCCATATGCTGTACTCGGGGGCCTCAGGGCCCCACTTAGCTTCAGACTCCAGGAGAAAGGCTAGGTCCCTAAGAAAACTGCAAGATAATGTTAAAATAAACTTAGGGTATTTAAATATCAGAGTTAAATGTTCAACTTGTAAATAGTTTGTGAGACTGGTGGTGGATCACAGTATGTTTTGTGTTTTGTGAGGTGCCAGAAACCAGTCAGAAGACAAGACTGTTTGTAATTGAATCTTTTTTGTTTGTACACAGCTGATAAGTACTTGGTGTGATGTTGTTTCTTTCTGGGATGCAAGAGAAGTTTGTTATCATTTTTGTAAAGAGAGATGCAACAAAACTAATAAATGTTTACAGACAAATTTTCACCCGTTAAAATAAACTGCCTCACCATTGCATCTTTCATCAGGTTGCTGCAGCTCCTCTGTGTGCAAGTTCCCAGTCAGGTATTTGTAGGAAACTGAAGAGTCACTATAAAATTAATTCTCTTCACAGCTCCACATAAACATGTAATTGAGAAATAAGAAGAAACCATTATCATGGTCAAATTATCCTGTGAGTCAAGCACTATTTCATCAAAGGGAAAATTAAGAGGGTATTCCATTATTATCCCTGCAAACATATTCTAAAATTGTCTCAAAAGAACTTAATTGTTAGAGAAGATGATGACAATCAACTACCTTCAGAGCAGTGGGAACCATTCAGAAAATATTCATTTCCTTTAAAATTTCAAACCCTTGCTCAAGCTGTGTTCCAGACCACCCTTAAAAGCCTGTTATTTTTCACTTCATTTTTTTTTATTACTTGTATTTTATTGACAGGGATGTCAAGCCTAATCTGATTTTAATTCTGTTATGTCGATATCCTTCTTACAAATAATCAGTGAGTTGACAGGCATCAATAATTTAGCAAGTATCTGAGGGAAATATTTTGGAATATGTCAATATTACTCATTGTTCAAAGTCCCTAAAAATCCCTGAGGGCACGGTAGATCTGATTTATGTGATGACTGAGGTGAAGAGAGCTATAACACCTAAGCTAATGATGTTTGTTACAAGCAACTTATAGTTATTGTATTTCAAAATTCATCCACAGAATAATTTTCCACTTGGGCTATGAAGGCAGGGTTACTACTGCTTCACCATAGTTCCATATCCTGTTTCCAGTGATATCCAAGCAATTTGTATGTCTAAATATTAGAATTGTTAACAATTTTCCCTGTAAATACTTTAACATTTCTTGTAGTAACAACTGAAAATAGGCTACCAATACAGTTTTAATCACTAGAACAGTATGCCATTTTTCTGGCAAGATTTTTTAAGCATATCAGCCTTAGCTTTGAATGAGAAAAACATTTAAACACTAGGGTACAATCTGCTGTGTACAACAGTACAACAAAAATATGAATCAACAGCAATCAAAAATTAGAGACAGCACATCCATTAGTTTGATCTTTTACAGTAATGTGCGAAGAAGGTTGAGGAGTCAATGCTGAAAATTACATTACAGGCTGACTGTACAAAGGCAGTTAAGACAGTTCTCCTTCTTTACCAAGCCGAACCAATTCCATTTTGCATTCTCAGTAGATCCATCTTTGGAAGAACCTTAGAATCATGTTGATGTTCACGGTGGATCAAAATAAGAGCAAATTCGAATGCAACTAAATATATATCAGCTCACCAAAACATGAACATGCCTTAGTACTAAGTACTGTGCTTTCATAATTCAGAGAATTTTGGAAACCCATAAACAGATAGACTTTTTTACTTGATGATTATTTTCATGTCTATTATTTGTGCAATGCAGCCTTAGTTTTAGTTAGTAGGTACCTGTGACATTATTTGTTGCATTGCTTTCCATGTCCCTGCCACTCTCTCAGACTTTGCCCTCCTCACTGAACGGGATTTTCATTATTCATCAAAAGACAGTGGGTGTAACAGTGTGTGACTTTCCTCCTCACTTTGGTTAGCCATCTCTTCTTTCTTATTTCTCTGCTACAGATGTGTATGTTTTATCTGTTCTACACCCAGCTGCAAATCCCTTACTCAACTAGCTTTGTTTGGCTCTTTTCTCTATTATACAAGCTATGCTTAATCTTGCCTTCCTTTAAAAGAAACAAATAAAATGTCTTAACTCTCTTTTGTCTTCTTGCCCAGGATAGAAATGTTTCTTCACAAGGACCAATCTAAACAAGTTTGGGCTACTAATGAGCAATTAAAAATCAGCAGCTTAATCGAAGTCTTATTTTTATTTTGTAATTTCTGCACTTACCAGCTATTACTCATCGATTGCTTATTTCTCATATTATATCCCTTGAATGATCAGTAGTATTTTAAGTAGTACTCTGTTCAGCTACTGCCTCTCAATTTCAATTAAAGCAGCTTTTGCAGCTTTTGACAAAATCTCTAATATCTCCCAACAGAAGCACTAAGAAAGTGTAATTTTCTTGATCTTTGCTATCTTGGCATATAGAAACTTAAACTATTCTTATTTTTTCCACAATAAATTGTCTATATATGCCTTTTTGTAAAATTTCTTCTACAGCAACCATTGTTTTTCAGAAATAAACTAATCAGAATTTAAACCCCCCCAAGCAAATAAATAAAGGAGCAGACCAGAGACACTTGGGTTCTTCAGTCTGATGAAAAGCTGCTCAAGTTTATGCTCAACTGCTGTAAGTTGCCTTGGCAATAAGGCATGATTGTTGAATTTTGGCTGCTACTGGACCAAACCTGGTACTTTGCCAATTTATATCAACAGAGATTTCAGCCTAATATCCTCAAATGATTCTTTTAACAGTTTGACTTCCATTTAATTAACACAGAGAAAAGCAGGACAATTTAATAAACACATCGAACACCAATGTTATGAATAAAATAATTCAATTTTGTATTAAAACTCATGTAATTGAGTTATGCCTGTACTAGGTTTTGACCAAAAGCCATCAGGCAGAAGGATGCTTTGCGTAACAAAAATGTAGCATTTTTAAGTTGTCAAGGATTTTGATGCAGTTACTCCATGGGGATATTTGCAGAAATTAATTATGTGATGCAATTTTTGTTACTAAAAAAAATCAGAAACTGCAGACAAAAGCTATTTCCTCCACTTGTGGATTCATTATTAAAGCCTAAAAGCAATTTAGTCTCTATTTCTTAGCTATGATGAACATTTAGGGGAGGGAGGTAATTTTTTGAGGAGACAAAGATGGCTGAGCAGTGAACAATAAAAATCCATGTTCTTATTTATAATGCAGCTTCCTCCCCTGCACATGCCCTTAATTTGCATCTTGATATAGTCAGGAATAAAGTAACATTGCTGACAGCTTTGTCTTCAAAACCAGACTTTTACAGGAGGGTAACACAGAAAAGAACCTCGCCAGGTTTTCATGTACCTTGCAGCAGTGGGAGCACTCTTTGTTAGCAGTCAGAGAAGCTGGAGAAATTATGGTGGATGAGTGGCATTGAGAAGACCTTATTAAAACAATGGTTCTGCTAAAATAGTAACATTCTTCAACTCTTAAAGAAGAACATATCATCCTGATATAAAATCAGATTTAAATCTCTCATCCATTTAAAATGTGGCTTACCACACTGAAGTCTTCTGCTCAATCAAGAGGACATACCGCTTTAACTGTTAGGCCACAGAATCACTGAGCCTCTTGCTCAAGTATCCAAGCACTTGATGAAACCTTTATCATCAACCTTTCTGTTTCTGTTCCCAATTCTAGCCATGGATCATTAACTAATACAGTTTTATTTTGTATTGGAAAATGTCCATCCGTCTAAATGGGGAAAAAGGAACTGAAGGTCCACATACCTGAACACTTTTCTTAATGTCAAATCACTTATTAATTTCCCATAACACTGTCATATGTCCTAATCCGTATGGGACTTGATTTAACTATATAAGATACTTCTAAGATACCTGCTTTGTTTTGTCTGTGTCCGTGTCTGCACAAAGCAGTTGCTTGTGAAGTGGTCAAATTTTGCTGTGAATCTCTTTAGAAGTGCTATTTTCATCAGTTCAGCCCTACTCAAACAGATTTCCCAGACATACTCATTCTTTACTGATGCAATTCTTAGCCAAGTGTTATTGCAGACTGTGTCTTTCCGGGCTTGGCTTCGCAGTTTGTGAACTTCTACTAAAAAATCAGTCAAGCCAGATTTTCTTTCCTACTTATGCTTGTATATACTCCAACCCATTTTCTCTGACTGCAAGACAGCCGTTAAGACTGTCAGATAAGCCCTTCGTTTTCCATAGCATTTAGTAAACTGATTGCACTGCTTGATACAGATTTCTAGAACTTCCACTAGGTAATATTTAAACATCAAAGTGGAGCCATTACTTACCCTCGACAACCTGTAACAAACAATCAATAGGTCATCCTGACATTGTACACCTCCATTAGAAAAGATAAACTGTTCCAGAGTATTGTGTGGAGGGTCTGCTTCTACTCTCAACTATTTTACACCAATGAAATTGTCTAGAGACTTTGCTATCAGTTCTTGTAATCTCCCTTTAGTACATACATAGAAGCCATAATTACTATTGCAATATAGAATCATAGAAACAGAATAGCTAGGGTTGGAAAGGACCTTAAGATCATCAAGTTCCAACCCCCCTGCCATGGGCAGGGACACCTCACTCTAAACCATATCACCCAAGGCTCTGTCCAGCCTGGCCTTGAACACTGCCAGGGATGAAGCATTCACAACCTCCCTGGGCAACCCATTCCAGGGCCTTACCACCCTTACAGTAAACAACTTCCTCCTTATATCCAATCTAAACTTCCCCTGTTTAAGTTTTAACCCATTACCCCTCATACTATCACTACAGTTCCTAATGAAGAGTCCCTCCCCAGCATCCCTATAGGCCCCCTTCAGATACTGGAAGGGGTTATTCCCTAATCTCTGTCCAAATAGAATTTTCTCCCAGTCTTTTCTTCAAGGTGTTTTGTTGGGGTTTTTTAGCAACCAATTTCTCACTAGCTAAATGATTTAAATTACATAAATATTTATTCTTATCTCCTGTGACATTTGTTCATTTATCTGTTGCCTAACCTTAAAGTGTTTGCTTTTGTCAAAACTCTTATTTACTTCAGTCATTGGCTGTGCAATACAGCTGTCCCATCTGGTTTGTGCTGTTTCTAAATTGCATGTTGCTGATTCAACAAAGAGAATGCTTTGTCTGGTAGATGTTTACCATTAAAGCAGTAGGAATAATGTCATTGTCAGGTATGTATTGATATTATGATGGCTGAGAAAAGGATGCATTTTTTTCACCATTTTAATAATTTAAAATGTATTGTTTTAAAAGTAATGGTACCATTCTGTTTCTTTACATCAATTGTAGTTCCTTCTGTTACGCTAGTAAAACTGCTAAAGAGCCTCTTTTTTTTTCAAACAAAAATTACATTATTCTCATGATCTTTGCCCCCCACTTCCCAGTTTTACTAATTGGAATGTGGCCAGAATTTAGCTCGTGAGTTTCAATTGCATTTGTAACCCAACCATTTATCTTATGTGCATCCAATTTTCTAGTGTTAAGAACAGCTATTACTCCTTTTTAGTATTTACCCTGCTACATGCCAGTAGAGGAACCAACTGTGCCACCTTTATTTGCTGGTTCAGAATATCGTAAGGTTTCTTCCTAGACTAGTTAAAAATCTCTGCTCCAACACTTTTCAATTGTTTCTGCCTGCTCACACACCATGACTGAAATAACTATATTTCTTTGCTCATAGCTGAAAGAAATGCTATTATTTCTCCTATATACAGGATTCCTGTTTAGCTACAATAACTTGCAGAATTTAGTTATACTTTTATTTGATTTCCCTACTTCGCTAGCAAATGGACTTTATTGGAAGAAATGTGAGTACTAGTTTATTCAAATGAACAGAGATTTTTGAAGGTATGAAATGGGGGGAGTTTTGGTAAATCTGAGAGAGCCAAGAGCTGCCAATTACTCATTTCCACAGGACTCCTACTTCAAACAAGACATGAAGGTTAATCCATTATTAAACTTTTTTCGCCTTACTTTTCTAAACAGTATCTAAAGACTAAAATGATCATCAGTAACTCATTTGTGTGGGTAGTAGAGGAGGAGATTTTTTTTTAAAGTCAGGCATAAACTCCTACATGTAGTGTTATTAGGAAGGTTAAATACATAGTGACTTTCTAGGTGCAAGTAACTGTAAGAAGGAAAATGGAATGTCATTTCAGAATATGTGTTTGCTTTCATCTAAGGGAGTGAGGTTATTCAAAGTCATAAATCAAGAAGTAACGTGCTTTTCAGCTTCTCAGAAAAGATCAGAAAAAGCCCATCTTTTAGCTGTGTATAAGGCTTTTACATTTTCTGCATTGCATTGAGAACAATTGCCTCACACTTGCTTTGCACATAATTTTTCTTGACGCTGCTAATAACTGTACAGCAGGTTGAATTTCCATTGAAGGCTACTGTTCAAATCCCTGAAGTAAAAACTTGCCAACTGTCATGGTTGATCCCACTATCTGTACTGAATTGCCGTAAAACTCTAATTCGCCTCTGTTGTTGTTTGGTTTCCTTATGGGACAGTCATTCCGATGAGTTGTCTGTTTAAAAGAAAAAAGGCTTTTCTTGTCCTTAAAGGAAAAGGAACCCAGGGTTTTCTTGCTGTTTTTCATGGACAGCATTCTTTTGGCCTGTATTCAGAAATGACTGTGGCTTGCAGACGATACATGCTTTCAATATGCATCCAGCAAAAATAATATCACATCTGTTAGAATTTTGAGGACATACAGATGTCCACAGTGATACAGACTAGTTGATAATGAAAATAAAAGTGTCTTAGCTTTTTCTTTTTTTTAATGTCTGATTATCCTTCACAAGATTAATTTTGAATAGGTAAAAACTTAATGATAGCCAATATTTGCATATTTTCTGAGTACGTAAAAACACCATTAAGCAGATGTTACACTTGAGTATTAAAAAGAAAAATAAAATCATACCTAGTCCACAAATGTGTGCTTGGAGAATTGGAGAGGTTGGGAAGTTAAATTGAAACATGTCTCTTTATCTCCATAGATAACTGTGAAATTTCATGGGGTTTGGCTTGCCTATAGTTGTTCTTCTGTCTGATTATTTAGTAGACATATATAGCTTTCTTAACTGCAGTCATTGTCTTACTCAAAGTAGGTACCTGAAATTCTGTTAATATTTGAGCTGCAACCTAATGAGCCAGCATAGGCATGCCTTGTATCTAGATGGAAATACAAACTAAGCGTGTTTATGCAGAATAGTTTAAAATGTCTCCTAATTATGTGATCACATTAGTTTAACATTTATGTAAATTTTTCAGGTTTTAGGGGAACTATTTTTTGCTTTTCCCGAAGCAGGATCCCACTTAGCTTCAATACAAACATAAACGACAACTCACACTTTCATTTTGCCTAACTTTCATACAAAAGTGTTAAAAAATGCAAACTATTTGCATTTTCAGTTTCACATGGCAATGCATTCTGTTACCTAACCTCCATGTTTGGGAATAAATAGCAGAAGATAAGCAGGCACAGACAAATAGGTTGTTTCAAGTAATTGAAGGGCATTTTGAAGTAGGAATACAAGTCTTTATCTCATTGCAATTAAATTTCCTTGTAAGTTCAAACGTTCATAACCTTCCTGGGGAGAGAGCATGAAAGGCTATGACAGGAGGCTAGGGCCTTTTCTGTGGTCCTGTATTCTACAGCTGTTTCACAACCAATGAAAACCGTCTGCACCACCTACATGCCACAGCTTTTTGGACTAAATACCCTTGATTCTGTTCTTACTAATGGTAAGTGCCTGCTTGAAAGTGTGGTTTGCAGCTTACACAAGCCTTGAGAAGCATAGATGCCACGCTGTATCAAACTGAAATGCATCCATGTTTGTTATTGGCTCACCGGCTTCATAGAAGCCAAGTATTCATGGTTCAGGTGGAAGCCATTTCACTTTATTACTGTTTCTAATGCCAGAAGCAGTTGCACTCCAAGAACTGAGGGGAAAACTGTAGCATCACTGAGAACTTGGGTAGACTGATGGTTTGAAAATACTTTGTTCTTCTTCAGAGTTAATTTTCACTGGACCCAGGTCACCGTATTCCTTGTCCATACCACATTATCCTAAATGAGCTAGCCATCCTTTGTCCAGCAGTGGTTGTTCATTATGAACTTCTAACCAGACTAGTTCCAATGTTGCATCATTTTTCCATGTTTTCTGTGGCCTATGCTACTGTATTACCAAGTTACATACCTAAATAAGTACCCTACTTTGCTTCTATTATTTTTTGTCACGTTTGGGTGGAAAATCTCAAGTAGTGTGTCAGAGACAGCCTGCTCTGCAGAAACTATAGCACTGTACTCAACTATAGTAGCATAGTTCAGAGCAACCTGACAAAGTCTCTAACTTCTATTCTTATGTCTAGTAGGTCTGTTCTGAAAGTAAATTTCAGAGAGACAAACTACCTTTCCTTTTTTCTCTTTGCAGAGGTGTCCAGCTAGCTAGACTTATTGTGTCACCTGGGCTGCTCTCAATTAGTCACAGTGGTTTCTGTTGAGACTTTTTTCTCCACGTTACAAAAGCTTGATGTTAGAGTTTTGAATTTCATTTTGAAATTAAAAAAAACTACATAAATTCAAGATCGTCTCTGGCAGTTGCACAAAAGAAATCACAAACTGACAACCTGGTTCACAAAATCATTACTTTTCAAGAAAAAAAAGTCTTGATGATTCTCTTCTATCAGACTATCGAATTTTGCAAGAAAGAGGGAAATCATAGTATATGCAGTATATCAAAGGCAATGGAGCACCTGGAAATATTTACTTCATGAACTTTTTAAGGGAACTTATGCTTAGAAAAAATACCTACAAAGTATTGGTGTCAATGCTTATTTTTTGAAGGAACAAAATATGAACTCATGGAAAGTATGAGCAGATGGATCTGTAATCCTGGAATTTATGCCAGATAGAAATATATTCTCTCAAGTGTATTCAGCTGACTTTCAAGCTGATTTCTGGGGTGAGTACAATTATTTGTGTTGATGAGGATCTGAACCTAGAAAACCTCATTTAAAAGCACAGATGGTTATTTATGGTTGCTGTCTGCATCCAGTGTACTATACTGAATCAACTTTAATTGACAAGAGAAGGCTGATGCACCTTAATGAGTGTTTGCTATTGCCAGAGTTTTCTAACTCTTGATTAAATTATGTTCAGGTGAAACTGTGGCTCCTGATAACAGATGATGATTTTCACTGGAGCTGACACACTGATCTATAATCATAGCATTACCTTGTCTACTTGAATGATGCTTTTAAAAATTACACATATATATGTTCAATTTTATGCTGAACTTCTTATTGGCATTCAGTGGTAATGCCATAATCTTTCATAATGGACAAAGAAGGAGGAGATGAAATACCTCCTAGAGAGAGGAAAATTACTTCCTTATTTTTCCCATTGATCCCTCCTTTTGATGTATTCCTATGAAAAACAGGAACTGGGAGCTGCCTGTGGTATAAAATTTTGTCATAGCTATGACATGAGGAAACAGCACTGAAATGATGTGATGCTGTGTGAATATGACACTATCTTTTGAGGTTTACTATGATCTGTGAGTTTGAGAGTGCATATATTTTGCTTAGTTTCACTGGATCAAAGCTATTTCCCACTCCTTGGAGAATTTGGAAGAAACATAACAAAAAAATCCTCAAGCAATTTCCCCGTCTCTCTGCTTGTGTTCATGCTCTCTAGAAGAGAGGATTTGATCCAACTGTTTATTTTGGCACCAGAGATAGAGCTGCATATTACCAAAACCATCAAAGGGGATTTCCAATACAAATTTGGAAGTTCAGCAGC